ACTTTTAAGACCTGGAGAGACAGAGTCACATATTGGGAACACAACAGTATTTTAAGAGCTTAATGTGTTCATAAAACTGACAGCAAGTTCTCCTGAAATGTCAGAAATCATCTGACTGAGAAAACCTTTGATTGTTGGTAATAAACTAGGATAAGGAAAGGAATTTTGTAATGTTCTGGCACAATGTTAATCTTTTTAATTTGCAATGAAACAGAAATCATACATATACGGCGTACAAGGACAAAAAAGCAACCAAAAAAGAATACTAATTCAAAAACAAATAGGTACATGAAACATATTGGGACTACACGAAATGAAAAAATTTAAGCATTCTGGAAAAAAAAAATGAAATTACACTAAGATTTTAAAAAACAAAAATATATATTAAAAAATATATATATATTTTAAGTAGTAAATAAAAAAAGAGAAAAAAAATTATATCTTGAGCTTGTCTGCTCTTGTCTGACCCATCCTCCTACAACAGTAGTTTCTGAAACAATCAAACCAATCAATAACAGCCATTTTGATAGTATTAGAGTACTGTGAATTTGTTTTTGCATATTTTTTCCAGAATTCATTACCCAGTTTTAAAACAGAAAATGACACAAGCACTCATTGTTACATTTTCAATGACCTAGAATATAAAGCTACAATAAAAGGTGTTAGGATTCCAGTTTGTATGGGTTGTTTTTTTTGTGTTTTCCTCTCTCCACCACCAGGCAGTGCCCTGTCCTCGCTGGGCCTCCCTGCACACCTGCGGCTCGTTGGGTCATTACCAGAGGAGTACTTGAGCAGCGGGCTGTCACCAGCTCGACGCCAGAGTGTTTGGCACTATTAGGTAATCTAGCCAAACTGAGATTAGCAGAGTGTAACCCTAGCATTGTTTCTCTGAGTCTGACCTTCTTTTTTTTGTCTTTGTTCTTCGGCAGGAAGACTTCCTGTGTTACTGGAATAGCCGGGACCTTCTACCCCTGGAAGGATTTACTGAGTCTCACTGAGCAAGGGGAAAACCTCCACATGATGTGTTCATGTCCACGACTGGAAAACCAAGTGACAGTCTGCTCCTTTACTCCTCTGGGTCCAACGTATGTCTGTCTGTCCACTCTCCAACCAGGTCCTCTTCTCTGGATTAAACCCCCACAAACTGGATCCAAGAAAGAGCCCCCCAAAAGTGAGTGCCTCTCCAGCAAAATTCAAGCCTCAGTCTATTTTCCCACTGTCCCTGAACTGATCACTGTGATCTCCCCTTCAGAGTTTCCGGTTCACCAGTCCGCTGAGTTCCAGCATTGCTTCCCCACTGAGTTTCAATCTCCATCAGTGTTTGCTAACCTACAATAAACCTGTAAAACATTTCCCCTTGGTCTCTGAATGATTCTCTGCATGTGCGTCAGACCTTTAAAGCCCATTATGACAAAAGGTAACTTTACATTTTCCAAATGGATATAAGTACAAATATTCCTGCACAATCCATTTAGTTTTTGGTGATATATTTGTGACATTTGGAGAGACATGTAATTAAGACATGTACTGTGCAGTCATTGCTGCCACGTGACATTTCAAGGCAGAAATGGCACAAAACAGGACAAATGTAAGGTAAGGTTATAGAAATCTCTGCTTCACTTTTTTAATGAGGAAGAGGGAGATTTATTTTTCATAAAGCTGTGAACAAATCAATAAGTAATATGGGAAAGATTTACAGGGATCTACTAAATTCCCAGATGTCTTTTTCTTTTTCTGCCCACCGCTGACTGCGTTCTTCTCATCTACTTCTACCACCAGTCTGTATTTCACGCCTTCAAAGTGAATATGCCCCTTTTTATAGAACCATTTCTGAGGTTTCACTGGCCAATTTAATATTACCAAGCAAACATATTATAGTTTGTTTTCCACCATACACAGTATGAGTCAGATCAAAACATGAATGCTCTGACTGGAACATTTGTCATTCTGACAGTGGGAGTTTAACCCTCCAAGCTTGAAGGTCTCATACTGACCGAATATGATCAGAATTTCCACCATTAAAGTCTACTTTAAGCAGATTTATGAAATTACACTTTATTATTCGTCTTGACCTCAATTTTATGACTCTTGCCTTACTGTTATATAAGCTCTGTGGGTTTCATTGCCTTTGTATAAAATCAGATTTATCATCTGTAATGAAGTTTTACACAGTGCTACTGAAAAATTACATCATTAGAATGTATTCAGACAAACTCTTTTAAATGGATTATTGATTAGATATATATGTTCATCTGTAAAAATGCAAATAAAAGCCTAGGCAGGAGAGACACTACACATACAATGATTCAAATGATTTTTATATTTTCTACAATTTTAAAACACACAGACAATGGTGTAATTGTATAGTATGCTTCCAATAAATCACTTCAAAACCACTAGGGATGTATATTCAGGCCACACCTTAATGTGACATTATTGAAAACAGTCAAATAAATTAACCATGATATCAGGAAAAGATTTGGGCAGAAGATGTTGAGAGTATGCTGGCTGAAACAAGCTCATGGGCTGAAAAGCCCGCTCAGCAAGGATAAAGCATTTACTCTAAAAGTAACACTAGACTTAGACTAAGACAGATTCATTTAGTCATTTTGTATACACAGGTGTAAACAAAAAGAAATTTAATTTAGAACAGCTCTCTAGACAAAGTGCAGTTTTGATAAGGTAAGCAGTAGTTGTTGTTGAGCTGCTACTACTGCCTCCAGCTCCTGAAGCACTCGCTTCTCCTGGCTTAGGGGAGGAAGAGGACGAAGATGACGATGCTGTGAGGGTGGTAGCCCCCTGGGTTGACAAGGCTGACGTGGTTGAAGCAACAGTGGTGCCATTGGCAGGTTTAGCAGACGGTGCTGGAGAAGGCGTGGAAGCTGGAAAGGGCCGGGAAGCATCTAGAGTGCTCTCCTCATTTTCACCTGCAGAGGGCTGTGCTTCTCCTCTAGATGCGGAAGATTGCCTGGGAACAGTCTCAGAGGAGCCTCCATTCACACAGAGTTCTTTCTTTCTATCAGGGCGGTACAGCATCAGCTCCCCCAGGCCAACAGCAGCGTCCGGTATTGCTGGATGCAGACAAGACCCCGTCAGAATGATGGCGCAGCAGTTACATATCTCCTTTTTTGAAGAGAGTTCGAATCGGTGATTATCCATTTTGTTTTCCAATGATCGAAGATCAGGATTGATGGAAGCAGTGGTCTGTAAGGAATTATCTTTAGCTTCGCAATTAGCCCCCCTCTGCAGCCTCGATTTCTCCGTTTGCGCATCTCTTCCTCCGCCTGTTTTGTTGACATCCGTCCGTAGCACTTCGCAGCTTTTTAAACGGTCAAAAATTTCAGCATTTAAAACATTTTGTGACCGTAGCTCCAGCAGACGTTGGCGATCATAGATGCAGGTTTGATGTCTACTTTGTAATGTTTTAAGCAGCATATTTTGTAAAATTGTCAAGAGGAGCTGCTCTTGGCCGCAGCCTTGGAGCCCCGCCATGGTAACATAAAACAAAAAACAAAAAAAAAACCCACTAAAAACTAATTAAAGCATAAAGAGAGAACTATCTTACTCTTGATATTGGAACTATATTCTGATATAAATAAAATTTAAGTTTGTGTTTTCTATAGGGATAGTTCCTATTTGAACTGTGGGGGTCATAGAATCATGTGGAATGTTTTGATCTAGGGGAAACTGGTGTACTTCACAAAATAGATTTATATATTTATTTTTTTTAACAAGCAACCTGTTAGGATACCAGCCAGTAGATAGGAGCTTGTTTAAGGTCTTACAACTGGATGCTGACAGATAAGTTAAAAACGGGCTTAAAGACAAAGTCAAGTGAGCTGTTGGTAGTCACAATCACCAACAGCTCACTAGTTGTTTCTGTTCACTAGCCGAACGACTAAACAACCAACTTTTATTCAGTCTGTAAAGCTTTATTGCACTGGTTTGTTTTTGCCCAAACTTAAACCAAAAGTTGTTCACCTTTTTAAATAATATGCTTTGTTGTATTTCAACGGCATGTTTATTTAGTAGAATATTTATTGATACTTTATTTATAACTGTATTTCTATATTTCTTTAATTGTGAATGAAATGGTTCCAGGCAGCATTTGAAATGTTTACCTGAGTAATACACTTTAAAAGGCCATTCTAACAAAACTGAAATCTTACTTTTTTACTTTAAAGAATATCAAAAAGAAATCTAAAAAAATATATATATTTTTTATTCTTAGGTTTAAAAAATACAAATAATTTTGACAATCCTGACTGACATAAAGCAGGAAAATGTTATGCTGATTTAATGTCAAAGAATGAGGGGAAAATGTTATTTGTTGTCTATTTCTGCCCTGATGAGGATCTGCCTGCATTACTATTTTCTAGTTATATCTGACAGAAGTTTTTTACCATAAAAAGTCAAACTTTTAGTTCAAGATGCTAATTTGAGGAAATGTAAAGAAAAAAAAAGACTAAAATTATACACAAAAGTTTCAAACTAAATGTTATACATTTTGCTTCAATATAGACACTATACAAGCAAAGGAGAGCAAAGACGTATACAGAAGAATTAAAAAGAAAAACATTTAAATCTGACTTACAATATAAATTAATCATTCTAATTTATTGTAAACCCACTCCGCTGTGATCCAGTCTGAATTTCCACAGCAAAGGCCATAAAACCAAAACATATTAGCTGGGTGATGTACAATGAACAGCAAAAGAAGACAAGAAACAATTAAATGCAGGTATTTATGACAAATGTGTTTGCAAATAATCAAGAAAACAAAACAAAAAATGTTTAAAGTAAAGAAATATAACCAATGTCAGATAATTGAATAAACTGATTTATGACATTCCCACCATAGCCGAATTTGCTGGGTAGGACAAAAAATGTTTAACATAGTGCAGGTTAGAAGGATGTGTGTTTGTAAGCTTTCTGAAAATATCTGAGCTTTTATGTTCATCATAATGCAATCTGATGGCAGCAAACACATACTTTCTTACCTAAGGATTGTCCAGCAATGACTCTGCTGTTCTCGCTGGCCACAGCTGCCCGGGCGTTTCTCTCGCTGGCATACTGAACAAAGGCGTAGCCTTTGTGAACGGAGCAGCCCACTATTTTGCCATATTTTGCAAAGATGGCCTCGATGTCAGCCTTGGTTACCACGGCCGTGTTGAGGTTGCCGATAAAGACGCGGGAGTTGAGGGAGCGTGGGTCATTCTTGTTGGTCACGTTGCTGGTCTGGATCTTTCCGGTCATCCTAATCCAGAGGCTCTGCCTGCTGAAAAAAAAGAGGAGCAAGCTGTTTAGAAATGCCGCATAGGTCAGGATCAGAAAACCAAGGAGCTGGATGTAGGAACTGGACAGAGGTGTAATAGTTACTGCTATGCTTCACTTTATATAGGCTGAGAAAAAGGCCTTATCCTCTTTGGACACTCCAAATGAAAAAAAAAAAAAAAAGAAATGTCTTATTGTGAGAGATAATATTTATTTATCAATGAAGAGAGAAACCACATTGCAACTGCAGTTATATTATAATGGCTGAATTTTTTATGAGAGCAGTACTTCAGATTTACATATCCAAATAAAAAGTCCAATTAAAATTCAAGAAGTCCTCATTAAAGCATGAAAAAAAGTCATCAAGACTCACTAAGAAAATAAGTTACCATGTAGAAAACTTCAGAATAAATCTTTTGTTTAATGTTTTAGTATTATATAGAAAACAAATTACAGCAGTTTTCTATCAGTGGTCTATGGGATCCTTTTACCTGAATTAATTTCTTCCACATAACGCCCACATTAATAGTGGTTGTAGTCCAGTTTTTTTTTAAGTCACAATTGTTGTTTCCTTGTCTTACATTTTGAAGTGTCTCTGACTGTTACACATTACATACATTAAAAATGCATAGCTGTGTTTACTCTATATCAAAATCCAGACCAGAATCATCTGAATCTGAGTCTTCATCCAAATGGATAAACAAGAGAAGTTGTCTTTGCATACAAAGTGGATTCCAGCTTCTTCCTATCTTATGTCAATGTGCTCCTGGGCAGGGCAATTCATCCCAAGTTGCCTGTTGTTCTGCCTATCGTAATATGAATGTATGCCAATTTAAGACAGAGCAAATGGATTAATGTGGCTATAGTGTATAATGCTCAGTGGTCAGTATGGCTGGAAAGGTGCTATATAAATGCAGTCAATTTTCCATTCATCATATTTACTTTACATACACTACTGTTGCACTGCTTTTTGTTTCAAAAACACGTTCAGTGTTGTTGATTTATCTTATAAACTAAATTTACTGAATTCAAGAAAAGGAAGGATATGTTGACACGTGACAGTCATATTATGGTACATTGGTGTAAATGAAAATATGATTAAAATGTTTATGTATATTTCAGTGATTCAATTAAAAAAATAGAACTCAAATTGTTTTTTATCTTTTTATTAATTAGTAACCAAAAAGTGACTTTTTGGTTCAGTAAACTCTACTAGAGTATTTGTCATGATTTCTACTCTGTATTTTAAAGTTTCTTAAGTAAAATTAAACCTTTTTTTTAATGTAATACATTAATTTTGGGGAAACAGTAAGTGTTACTTAGATTTCCTTATACTATTTCAATGTTTAATAGCAGTATGTACATAAACCTCAAAATACTACATAAACTTTACTCTAAAAATGTAGCGTCTTGAAACGTACACACAGCTCACAACAGGACTGATTCTGCTTCAAGTCCAGGCGTTACAGGATCACACACAGAGCAAGAGGTAGTCTTGACGAAAGCCATTTTGGCAGGGTGCAACAATACGGCAAAAGCCTGCTTGCTTCTCATGGGAATTATATATGCCCAGAACTTGGCATACACTCCCATTTGCGCTACACTTTTGAAGTCTTCCAAAAACTTTTCCTGCAGTTGGATGGATTTAAAATGTCCCCCCAAAAAAACACCCTGAGGTGGAAGTTGCTTTCCTAAATGAATTAATGACTTTGTCATCTTAGGGGAGGAAAATTTTGCATCAAATGCCAAGAATTATCAGTAGGTTAATATTAGTGGAAGGGTGCCAGTCATTAATGTTTTTTATTTTTTGCTAAATAAGGCATATGTTATTACGCAAAAAATAAAGATACCTTATTTCAATATCTATTAGAGATTTTATTCTTCATTGAGAATTGTTAGACAGTTTAAGCTGTTAATCTTTAATTGTGTTAATTTTGTTTCATTAATGTTGTAATTGCGTTTTTAAAAGTCCACTAGTGTGTAAGGCCAAAGAGGTTTAAATTTTCAAATTGCACTGTTTCAGTTAGTAGGTTTGTAAGATGTTTCTTGCATATTTGAGTAGTGACTATATTACCAAATCTGTGTTGGATGTGGTATATATGCAATACTGTGTATTTGATGTTTACAACTCATACCAACCTATCTTTCTTTCGGTACAAATTCAAATGCAGTAATACATAATACACTTTTACTATTAATGCTATATTTGTACATACTTGTTTTCATTTAAATAGAGGCAAACATAATATTTACACCACTGCTCAAAGTTTAAGTGGCTCTTTCTTGATCTTTCTTGATCTTTAATATGAGTATATTTCTGTAACAAATGTTGAGATTTTCAGTGTTTCAGAGGGTTGTCAATTTTTTATTGCGTATTTGAAAAGTATGATACAAGTTAGAGGGTTGCTCAGTGGAGCAGTGGGTAGAATTGTTGCCTTGCAGCAAGAAGGTTCTGGGTTTGATTCCCGGCCCGGGATCTTTCTTCATGGAGTTTGCATATCTCCCTGTGCATGTGTGGGTTTCTCCGAGTACTCCAGCTTCCTCCCACAGTCATTACTGTTGCGTTAATTGGCTCCTCTAAATTCAACTCAGGAGTGAGTGTGTGTGAATGGCTGTTTTTTAGTCCACAGTTGAGGAAAAACAAATTTCTTTTAGAGAAACGGCTTATACCCCTGTAAAAATTCCTCTGCCATTTTTCCTGTGTAGTCTTAAGATCTAGACTTATTAGGTCAACATCCCCCTCTGCTTCACCATTGAGGAGCAGACATGTCTCAAGCCATTATTGTCAGAGCCATGGCATCATTTCTCTGTAGGAATGTCTGTGATGTAGCACACTTCTTTTGTGTTTTTTCAGGAGCAGACACAGAATCTGTACAAAATATTTCAAAAGTATGTCAATGAAGGTATTTCACCTGTTCAAAGAAACCATTTCTTTTCATTGGTATGGGAAGATGCACAGGGTTGGTCTCATTGTTGTTTATCCAGTTAAATTACTTTAAAACTGGTAAGAGGAAACAACCTATTATTTTATTGTTTTCTTTCCCTTTTAAATCAGCTGTCTTAAGCCAAAACAGTGAGGTTCCAGATGCTGAGAAAGCTGACAAGCAGCATTTGTTGCCAGGGGTGACCATAAACCTGATGGGGGGCAATGAATTGGAGATCAATTTGGTTCAAGAAAAACCAAACATTGGTATTGTGAAATATCTGATGAACAAAGCACACTGCTCTTCATTCTAAGCCATTACGTTTCTTTTTCAGCTTTCCCCCCTCAAGTAACTCTGCTTATCCCTGTGCAGAAGGTGACAGATTGCTGTCAGCTGGAGGTGAGAAGAACTCACTTCAGACTGGTGAGTCTGATAAACCCTTTCTATATATGAGAACTGTTTTCACGTTTGAATATAACAGTACCAATATCACAGCAACCTTCCTTTTTTTTCTGCATTTGTCCAATTCACTTCTTTCTTCTATCAGAGAAATACCCTTATATACAGTATATATACACCTATATATATATATATATATATATATATATATATTAGGGCTGCAACTTTTTTTTTTGGAAATCGATTAATGTGTTGCTTTTTTTTTCAATCAATCGATTAATAATCGGATAGCCAAAGGTTCCAGAAAGAAGATTTTGTAAGAAATTAAACCAGGTAACAAACACTTTTCCATCCATCCATTTTCTGTCACACTA